ATTAGGGAAATTTGTTGCACGTTTCAAAATGAAACAAAAATTGTGCGATGTTTTTAGTCTATAATTATCTATAATAATAACTATTATTCCCATTTTCAGTTTTTGAACCACACACATTACCGACACGAGTTCATCCCTCGCTACTTTTAAATGGCTATATCTTCTCCTGAAAGATTACTCTAAGGTGTCTGTTATTCAGAATAGAAATGGCATGTTGATCCTTAAATTAGTTGGTTATTTACCGTAATATTCCTATGGAAACCATGCAGTCGTGGGGTTTGGAAATATGAAAAAAAACTGTTTTCATTTCAACGTAAAAAGAGAGATCTTATATCCGTCAGCTTCAACTACGACTGGGGGTATCTATTCAGCCTGTAAGCAAAAAGTGTCTGCTTTTGTACGGCACAGTCGGCAGAACTGCTAAAGCTCCTGTAAGAAGAAAAGTGGTAGCACTGTCTCACCTAATTAGTAAATACACATAGCAAGCCCTTTCGGAAGCCACAGCAATTTGCAAAGGAATATCAAAAATATGGAAGCAGTCGGAGCACATGATTCACGTCGCATTCTGCCTTGCACACAGCACTTACCAATGCCCCATGCCGTGCGGTCGTAATCACGCTAGACGGGGTTTGGTTGTAAACAAAACCCCCTCACATATGCAGGCTCTCTCTAAGCCTACCCGCACACCATGACCGTCCACTTGTCCGATCAACATTTTCTGCTGTTTCTGGCCTATCTTGGCCCATTACTGAGACCATTTTTGTCTCTCCAACCATTAGTTTTATAAAAACGCAATGAAGGTGGGTCGCTGATTCACGAGTTGTTAAGTTTTAAGTCAGTTTTCTGCACATCTCCAAGTTCGACTTTGCAAATGCGAGTAGCATTTTTCCACGGGTTGGGCATATTTTATTTTGATACGTACGTGTTTCCGGCTAAAAAGTGAATTATTTACGTTAGCATGCATTCTTGCTAGGTGCTGCTTTGATGAAACTTTATGGAGTCTGCCAGGCTTATATATTACGAGTGCAATTTGTGTCAAGGCAGAAACCGAACATGATCCTTGGGGGGTTATCTGATGAAATATGAAAAAGACGAAATGGTTGGTTTTCTGAAAGGATCACAGTTCTCTAAGACAGATAAATTGCTTTAGTATGAGTGTAAAGCTGATCAATTTACGCTCACTGATCGAAATTAACACTCATCGACTTACCAAGTTATCCATTTTGTTGGTAAAGGAGACATATGGTCGATCACTGGAACAAAATGTATTTTTTCCTG